GGAATCTAGTTCCCTGACCGGGGGATTGAACCTGGGCCCCCTGCATTGGGAGTATGCAGTCTTAGCCACTGGATCACCAGAGAAGTCCCCTAAGACCAGTTTCTTTATGCTCAAGTGAATGCATGCCTTCCCTCTTGTCCTGCTTGCTACGTTATGTTGTTATTGTTCCTTATTGTCAGATAAATTAGTAGTGGTATCAGCTGGGAAGAAGAGATATGGAGAGCTGGCCTTAGATCCCTGCTCTGTCCATCACTTGTGCACTGAAGCTTTGACAAAGTGACTTGCTGCCAGCCCGGTGAGGGAAGAGTTCCTGGGGGAGCCTGTGGGAAGCTCAGGGCTCCCATCCGGCTGGCAGCCCCTTGGTTGGGGAGGTGGCAGGGCTGCCCCGTTGTCAGGGATCTGCGCCAGAGCTCACTCCCTCTTTTTCTGGCTAAGGAATGTTCTTTATTTCATTGTGACAGACTTTTAGCATGGGTGGGTACAAATAAAGGACAGGAAACTTGATGCTAAGGATGCTTGAGCTTGTAAGAATCCAGGATTTATACCATTTCTATTGCAGAAGCTCCAAATATTGTGAGGGTTTCAATTCATTCACCACCATGTCTGACTTCCTTTTCAACTCCCAACTGCTCCTAGCTCCAGATCTCAGGGCTGAAGGAGTGTCCAGAATTAAAGGGTGATGGCCAACCAACTTTGTCACTGGGCCAACAGAGTCAGCCCCTCTGCCTTGGTAGCCCCTCCCCCATGCAGAGCTCTGGAAGCCACAACTCACAGCTAAGCACCAGCTCTGTCAACATCTTGAGAGAGAGTGCCTGGGGTAAGCTGGCTTCAACACTCACTGTCATCTGTTCAGGATTGTGTTTCCAGCTGCATCATTTGTTTGCTTCTCAATCTTGCTCTCCTAAATTCTTCTGACTCTCAAGAGCAAAAGGGAAAGATACATTTTGGCAAAGTAGTTGAGAAAACCCAGTTCTGTATTCTCGGTCACTATCTTCCTATTTCTAATTCTAAGTACTTATTTCCAGGGATCCAGAAAGGGCCTACTGGAGAGATCTAGAGACCCACAACCATAACCACATTACCATATCCACCAGTCTGAAGCAATTCTCCATTAACCAAAAGTACTCTTGAATTGGCAAATGTCATTGGAGACTCAGAGTAGGACATAATATTTACAATAGTCGGGAGATTTTGGACAAAGTATTTACCTTTTCTTTCTGCTCAACCCATCCACATCTTCATTTTCTGGAGTGCACAGACTTAACAGGTGACCCACCTGCATCCTTAATTTTTAGATAACAGCTGAAGTTTTTTCCCTTTGTTTATTTTTTGGAGTTAGCCAGCTGACCTGCCTCAAAGCAGGACAGGCTGGGTGCTGACCTACCCAATAACACAGCACAATCATGACTTACTTGGCTTGTCTGGAGAAAGAAAATACATATTTAGTATAAAGAGAAGCTATAAGCAATGGAACAGTTGGTTATACATTACAGCTTGTAATAAATGAAAATATCGAGTGCATTTTAAATGATTAATGTATGAAAACTGTCACCACTTACTGTGCATTAATCAAGAAAAAAATGCACACTTCCCATAGTGGTTAATGTTGCAGGCCTGTTGTTCAGCTTTGATAATGTGCATAGCAATGCTCATATGACAATGAGTTTGGGTAGCTGAAAATTTAGGATGGTTGCAAGTTTGGTGTAGTATTTGGATTAGCATCTTAATCTGTGCCTTGTCAGCCTCATCAGTACACAAGCTATGTATTTTGTCCAAAACTAGCAAAAATATGGATGTTTAAAAATTTTTTTTTTTTTAAATCAAGAATAATGACCAAGGTACCTGCTTAAACAAATACTACCAGCATTCATTAGTTAGGATGGTTACATGTAAAAGAAATGATGCCAGATAGTAACAAATCCAAGAGAAGTTTATTATGAAAATGGCACCTGCGGATGAAAAATTAAGTTACATAAAGACAACCATGTATGTGACATGTATGAGAATCTACAAAAGTATAAAAAGAACCCTGTTGTAAATGAAGTATGTACATTTCTGATTTGCAGCATTATCAATGGTCAATGAAAAAAAATGTTTCAAAATAAGCCAGGCACTCAGGAAGTTAGGTCCGGGTTAGCTTCACACAAAACAAATGTACCATAGCTGTCGCTTTGTAACGTTTTAATTTTTTTATATATATATTGTAGAGTTGGTAACACTGCTAAGATTTTTACGAACAGAATATCCCTTTCCCCATTATTCAGCTACTTGGCACCAGTCTCCTCATAAAAGTTTTCATATATTTGTACAAGAAATAGTTAAAAACACAGACACAGTCTTCACAGGTAATGAAGTGTTTTTTTTTTTTCATTTTGTAATTTTAACACTATGGATTTAGACAGCAGCTGTGATTATCTGTTAGTTTAAATCACCAGAAATCATTCTGACACAACACGGAAACATTTATAAAAGAAAAAAAAAAGAAACAACAACAGCTGTCTAGCTGTTCTTTGTAGCTGATAGGTGCGTTCCTTTGATTGTTCGATAGCTAGAGTAGAGCTTCCAAAATTAATCTTTAAATTTCATGATTGGCCTTCTTCACCTTCTAAAATGACTCAGATCCTTCAAGTAAGCACTCGCTATTAAAATTTGTGGCATTAAACTTCTTTTTCTTTTGTTACTATTCCACAGTGGTTTGGGCCCAACTCATGGAATCAGAGGGCCAAGAGGAATCCACTCAACACAGTGATATTCAAAGGACAGCCGAGTTACTCTATTAGCATTGCACACATAAACAAATATATATGACAATTCTATAGTCCATCCCCCCCTCCCCTTTTGTTTTTAAAAAATGTTGGTTGACCTTTGAAATAATTTTCTGTCTCACTGGTAAATTGCTTTATATATTGCTCCATCAGCCAACCTGGAAAGAAACCAAAGAAAAGCACCCACTGCTTATAGGTAGAGCACAAGGGACTCTGGGAATGTTAACAACTGAGGCTATATGGCATCAATTTATTTCATACATCTGAGCATTATTCTTCAGCGCGTTGCGTGGCACTGCAGAAGAAAGAGTCGTACCCAGAATTCCGTTGTGGGAAAAAATGGCTCCATTAACCTTGAGCTAGTTAAGAGTCTTTTTATCTCTGAGAATGAAAAAGATTTGGGGAGAAGTTGGGGTGGTGGGGAGACGAGGCAGGAAAAGGGGAGATGAGAGAGAGAGGGAAAGAGAGGGGAGAGGTCAGGAGAATATACACCAGTAAAGCAACAGCAGGAATCTTAAGAAGTGAAACGGAAGTCACAGACAGTAGAAGCAGCATAGGGTGACGTTACAGAGGAAGGCCACCACACAAAAATCACTAACCCCCAAGAATCACTGATTCACTACGACTGCAGGAATGGGACTGTACCACTCCAGACTAGAGATAGAGCATAGAGAAGACAAACGACAGAACAACTACATTAGCTTAGTATACACTGCATATAGAAACACACGTTGAAACTGCAATGGACTGACGGCCAAGGACACGTACACAGCGCACAGGTTACAGTTCTCACATCTGTTATTAGATGCCTCAACAAACAGCTGCCAAAAATGGAGTGGAAGAATTTATACTTGACAGTCATTTGGAGTGTTTGACACTACACTGATTTCTGGCAACGAAGACAAAATAGGACATTTTTTTCCATTTTCTTTTTTTTTCTTTTTTTTTTTTAACTTAATGTGCAGTTTTCAGTTGCAGTTATCTGTTTGAAGCTTATTTGAACCCATTCATTAGTTTTAAACCTTATTGGTTCCAACCTAGATATAAAAGAACCAAAGGGGAAAAAAAAAATCCATCAAATCAGTCCCCCAAAATACAAATACAACCTTCCTTTTTTTTTTAAGCAAGAAATGAAAAAAAAAAAAGTTAAATATTTTTTCCTTCTTTTACTCTGAAGTGTTATTGAAGTTGTAAAAATTAGCCTCAGTTAGACTGAGAAAAGGAAAGAAACAAAGCTCAACAAAAGACAGAATGTACCTAAACTGCTCCTCAAGTCAGTTTGATTGAGTTTTCCAAAAACCCTTTTAAAAAGGGCTTTCCTGACCCATTAAATTTAATGTGAGGCTATGTTTGTTAGTTGGGAGGTAAATTTTAAGTCCTGCAGCAAACGTTAATGAGGGCTTTGTCTTAACTAACCAAGGAGACTGCAGCAATGGACTCCAGACCAGGACAGAACACACTTTTTGTTTGTTTTTCCCAAAACCCAGCCCAGGAGCTGCATTTTGTATGAAGACATTACAGATTAATAAATGATAGCACCATGGTTTTAGAAATTAAGTTAATGTTTCAGTAATTAACATTTAGTCCAACTTTTTGTTTTTAAACATTCTAGTCACAGGCCAGAAATTAAGCTTAAGAACCCAAATTATTTTTATGTGCAAGTAAGAAAATCTTAAAATCTTAACCATAAAAAGAGAATTAAATTCTGCATAAAATTCTAAAATGCTATCCCCCTATTTTCAAAGGAATCAGGAACAGAAACAAAACACCACCCCATTTCATTTGACTTAGTCAAACAGGGCACATTGTTTATCCTTGTCTCTTTCAATCTTGATCATATCAAGATCTTTACGAAGAACACCCAATGGTTGTCACTTGAGAAATCTCTTGACCACAAGACTGAGTATTCTATGGCAGAGGCATATACACATGAAAGACATCTCAATAAAGATGCAAAAGAGAGCAAAACAACCCAACACACATCTCAGAAGAAGACAAAAGGGCAGGCAACCGGTCGTCTGACCCTCTGAAGGCCCCAAAAATAAAAAATATCTTTACAGGAAAGAATGAGTCCAGTGAAAGAAAGAAAAGGGGGTGGATCGGGGACCGTCGTGGCGAAGAGAAGATGCTGACCTGCTCGAATTCAAAGTGCTAGAATCAAAGGTCTAAACGAAAACGCCGACGATGCCTCCGGGGGCGGGCGGAGGCCCCCGCCAGGCCGCCAGGGGGCGCCGCTCAGTCCTCCTTGCGCTCCAGAGTCTGTGCCGCGTGGATGCCGTTGCTGTAGACCGGGAAGGGCAGCGTGGAGAAGAGTCCCTCCGCCGTGGTGAACACGTTGCCGGCGGGCATCTGCGTCAGGCCGGCCGCGCTCACCGCGCCGCCGAACGGTCCCGACATGTTGAGCCGGTGCACGTGGTGGTAGAGCATCTCCATGGGCGTCTTGGGGTCGAGGCCGAAGCCCGGGCTGTTAACGTCCACGAAGTTAACAGCGTGCGCGTTGGGCAGCAGGTTGCCTTGCATGGCCAGGGTCACCTCGGCGGGGGCGTAGCGGATGGTGCCCGTGGTGTAGACCCTCTGCGCGGCCGTGCTGGTGGCCGCCAGGGTCCCGGTCACCCTGTGCACCAGCGGCAGCACGACGTTGCCCGCCTGCAACCTCTGCAGAGCCTCCAGGTCCCCGGTGTAGAGCAAGGAGTTGGCCGCGCCCGGGCCGCCCCCGCCGTTCCCGTTCCCACTCCCGCCCCCGGGGTGCTTGTCCCGCGGGGACGCCGACAGCGGGGGCGACAGCGGGTCGGAGGCGACGGGGGCCAAGGCCGCGGGGGCCGACGTGCTGAACTGAGTCTTGCGGGCGGTGGCGGTGGCGGAGGAGGAGGTGCCATCGGCGCCGGGCGGGGTGAGGACCGAGTCCGGGATGGCCACGTGCAGCCCCCCGGCACCCGCGCCGCCGCCCGGCGGGGACGGGAAGTGCTCGGAACTGGGGGGCTTGGTCATGCTGTAGGGCGACTCGTTCCGGGAGATCTCCCGGTTGGGCGGGTAATTCCAGATGCTGCTGTCGTTGTCGAAGTTGATGGGTTCTGAGATCTCGGTCTTGATTTTGAGCACCGAGGCACTATTGGGCGACGACAGCAGCCGCGGGGGCTCCACCAGGCCGGCGTCCAGTCCGCCCGGGCTCGACGCGCTGGACAGGCGCCGGCGGCTGGCGCTGCCGCCCTTCTGCCGTTTCCGCCGCTTCTTGCGCTTCTGGTGCTTGCTGGAGGCCTGCGCGCCCGCCTCGCCCGCGCTGTCCGAGTCCTTGGCGCTATCCGACGACAGCGACTCGCAGTCCTGCAGCCGCAGGTCCGACTCGCTCTCCACGTAGCCGCGCTCCACCTTGATCTGCATCCGGCCCAGCGCGCCGAAGCCGCTCCCGCCGCCGTCCTCGGCCGCCTTGGGGTTCTCAAAGTCCGAGTGCTCGAAGCTGTCGTCGCTGTCGCGGCTGTCCGGGTTGCTGGAGCTGTGGCCGTCGTCGTTGCAGTGCATGTCGTTGTCGCACGTGTTGCCGGACTTCTTGCGGTCGGGCTCCGGGTCTTCGCTGTTCTCCGACTGGTTCCCCTTCTCGTCGGACTTGGAGTTCTCGTTGTCCTCTGTGTGGGGGGAGACACAGGAGATGTCAGGCTAGCAGCACAACGCGCACCTCTCACCGGCGGGGGCGGGGGCGGGGAGGGAGGGCTGGGTGTCTTGTCCCATCCTGAGCTGCTGCTGGCTCTACCACTTTGGAAACCTAAAGCCTTGGCTTTGTCTCTCGTGAGGACCGAGGTTATGGCGGGTGGGGGAGTGACTCCCAGAGCACGGGCCCCATCACCTGGAGGCTTGTTCCAAATGCAGAAGCCCGGGCGTCCACCCAGACCTGCTGAATGGGATCCTTCATTTGAACAGGATCCCCAGGTGATTCTTAGGCACCTTAACGTTTGAGAAGTTCTGCAGAAATACTCAGGGATTCAGCGTGAATAACCTGGAATAAGGTGTCAGCGGCACAGGAAAATGATGATTTGCAAGGTGACCTCCCAAAGAAGTGTGCGTTTTCTACTGGCAAATACTTGCTCCTTATCGAAAACCATACTGTCTATTCCTAGAGTTGTTATTCTTCAGAGCACTGAATGTCATCTGATTCATTTGTGTGTTTTATTTTTATTCTGTCTTTTCCCCCAACTGGAATACACACTCCACAGGGCAGGGAAATTTTGTCTTTTTGGTTCACTGCTATATACTGTATAAATAAGGAGCAGAGATTGTCTGTTCTGGAACTCTGCCCTAGTGAAGACCCTCAAACGAATGCTGAAAACTATCAAGAGCCTCCTCACCTCTTCCTGCCTCCCTGAGGCCGTCTGGAATAGAGGGATATGTGTTCACAGGAGCAGGTTCCCAATGGATGGCACTTGTGGTGGGGGAGCCCTAGTCATCTGCCACATTTTAGGGAGGATAGGTTTTCTTAGTAATATAACCTCAAAACATTTAGGGATGATGCTGATTTCATGGTTCTGCTACATGCTTTTGGATGGCAGCCTGGACTGGAACCTTGGGCAACTCACATCACTTACTCTGGCTTTCCTTTATTTAGTAGAAAAGGTTGGGTTAGAAGAAGCTTAGAAAATTTTGCAGTTGTAAATTCTCTGAGTTATGTGCCCCCTGGATCTATGTGTGCCTGTAGAAGGGGACTGGGGATTGGAGGAAAAGTAAATTTTTACGTTAACTTTTCTATGTTCCAAAGAACTATTCAGTCTGCTTCCCAAAAGAACTAGGAAAGGGAAAGCATGGATTTATTCAGCATAGATTCAGAAAATGACTAACAGTCCAGCACACATAAAGAGTCAGTTACTGATGCCATTGAGTATCCCACTTTAGGGGTTCCATCCCAGCTTGGTGAGTGTGTGAACATTTGGGGCTCAGAGTCACAGTCGGTCTTGGAGCAACAAAGATAGCCCTGCTCTCTGCTCTGGTTAGGGCAGGTCGTCTTCCGTATGGAGGGCTGACATTAAGTGATGGCTAAATTAATCAGTCTCTCTGTATATTTGTGTGTATATATTTATATACCATAAAATGCCTATGTGTATTAATATATAACGACATGCATATATGTATGTAGTTTTACATATTTATATACATGTATGTGTGTGTTAGTCACTCATTCTTGTCTGACTCTTTGGAATCCAGTGGACTGTAGCCCACCAGGCTGCTTTGTTTAGGAATTCTCCAGGCCAGAATACTAGGGTGGGTTGCCATTCCCTTCTCTGGGGGATCTTCCCAACCCAGGGATCAAACTGAGGTCTCTCGCATTGCAGGCAGATTCTTTACCATCTGAGCCACCAGGGAAGCCCATATACATGTATATATTTATATAATACCACATACCTAAGTGTGTGTTTTATATATGTGCACACACATATATAATGTGTACATATGAATGTAGTGGCATATAAGTATATATACATAAGTGTGTTGAGAAAGGCTCAGTAATACCTTGACATGACTGACTCTCTATATAAAATCTGACCAGTTGTTTCACTCAGATGATGGCCCTCTGGCTGTTGCCCACCCCTCATATTTGGAAAGGCAAGCCTTAAGCGCAGAACATGGAGAAGTTGTAATACCTGTAATACCTGAGGTGTCTTTAGAGTCTGACTCAGAGTCGGAGGTCTCCGAGGACTCCGAAGTTTTCTCCGGCAGGTGGGGGAGCTGTGCGATGTCCATTGGGGTGTCCTTGTACTCAGGGTTGCTGTGGGGGAGGGAGGCGTTCATCAGGAGTGCACACACCCATTCGGGATGGCTTGCTCTTGACCATCCTTTTTCTACTTCCGTGCCCCAAACTTTGGGGAGCTCAGAGAGTTAGAAGACTAACCATGAAATCATTTCTCAGCTCATCACAGGACTTTTATAGAAGCTTGGAGTGCATGGCTGGGGTACAGGTGCACCTTGCTACAATGATTGAATACCCAAATGCTACATGAAAGCCACTGAAAAGCTTTTAAATAATCAGATACCACTGAGGGCCAAGGAACTGTGCTGCTTAACATTCCACCCCGCCCCACACCTGGGGGAACGGAGGATGCACAAAGTACCCTCAACGGTTCATCCCCCTGCCTCCTGGCGTGCCGTGTCTGCTCCTGGGCTTCTAACGAGGCCCTCGTTTCAGCATCCTTGTGGTGGCTCCTTGATGGAGCCCCTCTGCTGTTCAGAGGCTATGTGTGTGTGTGCTGGGGCGGTGGCGGGGGTGGTGGGGGGCAGAGCCCCCAGCGCCTGACGATCTGACAGATGCACAGGTGCACCTTGGGCTGCGTGGATTATGGCTACTGAACTGTCAACACACCCATTACAATCACATTTCCATCTGCTCATGTGGTGTACACCTGTGGCTTGTTAGCTGAGATCTGATTGCAGTGGGGAGAGTCCCAGTGTGAAAGAGGCCCTAACAGAATAGATCTAACCCCATCTGCACAAAGGTGCTTAATTTTTGATCCATTTTTAATTCAGAAGAATGCCTCTCCTGGAAAAGGGAGTGTGTTCGGTCAGTCTGAGCTAGCAATCTTCATGAAATGCCATTCCAAGGCCAGCCCGGCACCCAAGCAGGATAGGCTACCGTAATGTGAAGGTACAAGGAAAGCCTCTTTTCTCCAAATGGAGAATGCCCTCTTCCGTCCTCCTGTTGATATCATGGCCAGTCAGCCAGACACCTACCATTGGTGATTACTGGCTCCCTAGCTCATTTCTAGAGAAATTCCTATATCAAAGAGGCACTGTTTCAGTAACTGCTCTACAATCGCCAATATCCTGGGGGTGGGGGGGGGAGGGTGGCATTAATTCTCTAAGATAAATGATCGGGCATTTAGCATTTACTCCTTAGTGTGAATTGGTGTCAGCAGCAGAGCCTTTTCTAGACTATCAGCTGAGCCGATGGTGGGAAGGTGGCCTTAACCCTTACACAGTCTCTGTGATTCTACCACGTGTTGTAAGGGCATAGGAAGAAGACTGGAGGAAATGGCTGAAGTAATTTCAGAACAGGGAACTGCAAGCCTGGAGGGGGCCCAGAAGTGAGGGACTCTGGCTAGGAGAGGGAGCAGAAAATTACTGCCTGGGGAGGAACAAAGGGTAAGAAGATGGAAGGGAAAAACCAGCTTCAGTAGTTGCTATCTGGCCAAGGCCAAGGCCTGTTTTTGTAGACCTCCAGGCGAGGAAGTGATCCTGGTGAGTGGCAGACTTGGGGGTCCTCCCTCTCACTGGAGCTCATCTTTTTCAGCCTCCGTGGTCCAGCTGCCATGAAGGTTTCACAAGTTACTTGTACTCCGACTGACAGTCTTCTAGTAGTGAACCCACGGCAAGTCTTCAGGTCTGCGGAAACAGGTCTGGCTGGCCTGAGGCTGAGGCTTTTTGAGCCAGGAGGCTGGTCTTTGATACCCAAATTGCTTCCTTCCTCTCCAGATGGAACTGGGTGGAACAGGAGCAACCAATGCTCATGAGTCTGTACCGTGTGATCCTCGTCTGGACCAAGAGTGTGGCTCCAGAGTAGCACAGACTGACCTCTTCCTAACCCTCCCCTCTCCCTCTGTTTGGGGGCAGTGTAGGAAGTCATGAGGCTGATGAGGCAGTAAGATCCCATGGGAAGAAATCTCCTTGAATCAGGTGAACAACCATGGGATGAGTTTAGTGCCCGAGGTTCCAGCTGCTAGGGGCCAGCCATCTTTGAGACTTCTGTGTCCCTGTTACTCATGTCTAATGTTTTTAATATTTATTTTTATTTATTTGTTTGGCAGCCCTGGTTCTTCGTTGTGGCACCCAGGATCTTTAGCTGCAGCATGGACCAGGGAAGTCCCACTAACATCTGATTTTTAAGAATAATGTAGCTCCCTGGCACAACACCATTTTTGCCTAGCCAGTGAACATCAATGCTGCAATACCTTATTCTGTTTTCTCTTCGGCATGTGAGTTTTTATAACCTTCTGCATTGCCTAGAGTGACTATTCCATAAACCTCTGAGTAAAAGAATTCCCTGAAAGCAGAACCCACCTTGAGTGTATCATAAACAGCATAGTCTGCATGAAAAGCAGGCTTTGGAGAAAGCCCCTTTAGAGAGACTTAATGTAGAGTAGAAGAGGTCAAAAAAAGGAAAAAGAAAGTAGATGAATGAAGACTCTTCTAAGTGGTACACATTAAAGCCCTCTCTAGAGCAATAATCATTAGCACCTGATTGATATGCTATTGGGAGCAAGCACATTCATGCCTTCCAGTCACCAATGGAGGCGAAAACACTGAAGGGTCAGCGTGCTGATGAGCCACGGCTGTCAGCATCTCAGTCTCAAAGAAAAACGGGATTCGGGTACTCCCTACCGAGATTATCAGCCAAAGGGCAACAACTTCCATTCAGAACACCTACTGGCAGCTCACCTTCTAAGGCCACGTGTGGGCCCTGCTTGGTGGCTTTAGGCCAAGAGAAACCAAAGACTGGAATGATGGTGATGGGAGGGAGCCAGGCTGGGCAGTTGGAGAATTTCCTAGCAGGATTGGTGGAGAAGATCTCAGACAGCTTGTCCCCAGATGCAGACCACCCAGGCTCTTCATCTTGGTTACCGTGGTGCTGTCTGAATGCATAGGTAGCAAGTATTTGAAGAAGGAGAGAGGAATGGTGTGCCCACTGGAATTCAGGAAGCTGTTGAGCTTGGCTGCATTAATGGATATAAATTTGATGATGCATTCAAGTAGCGGTCACACTTGCCTGAGATCACAGAGCAGGCAAAAGAAGACTCCTTCATTTGTATACTAAAACTGTCTCGATTCTGGTGAGGTGACTCCCTTCACTTACCTAAACTTGAGTGCTTGAGGAATCTAACCCTATGTAATATGCTCAGGGCTTCAAAGGGATGGGATACAAGAGGAATATAATGAACCCCGCCACTTCTTTCCATCCCCTTTCACACCATTTTTGCAGGGGTTGGAGTGCATGAGTATGAGAATATGTTGGGGAGAAGGAGATGCTTTTTGAATGTTTCCGCTGGAGGCAAACGTCTGTGTTCTTTATCTGGCCCGAACATTTGTGGGGAAACCAAAGCAATTTCTGCAAAGCTGCCAAGTGGTTGCTGACCGGGAACTAGTGAACAGTTCACAGGTCTGCCCTGGGAGTCCCTACTGACATAACTTGGAGCCTTTCCCATTTCTTTGGCTCTTGTGGAAAGAAAAGCAGAATTTCCCTATAATTCCACACCAGATACTGTCAAAAGATAATATAACATGTCAGCTATTAACCATCGGGCTTTATGTTTTATAACTGAGACAGGAATGAGAAAGAATTCGGAAATATACCTCAGAAGATAGTTCACCCAGATGATATTCTTCTCATTTGCGTTCTTGGCGTTAATAGCTATGGTGGCACTAGACTGGATCCAAATGTAGCCTCCGTTCTTCTGCATCCAACGGTAGTATTTGGTCACACACTGGCCCTTATTCAGCACTAGTGAAAAAAACAAAACAAGGCATTGCATGTTAAGACTGGGATGAAATGATCATCGTCTCTGCAAAAGCTGAAGCTTAGAAAGAGGAGGTCTCGCATCGAGTCAGGGGTGCCCCTGTGTATGCTTAATGTAGAATGCCATTAGTAGGACAAATAAAATCACCAATTCAGTGGAGCGGCAGCTCTGGAGGTTACTATGTTTGTAGCAAGACTTGATTCCATTTGGGGCAGTCATGGTGTGAAAGGAAGGATAACAGGACTGCAGATCTTGCTGGCTCACAGAACGCTTAATGCGGCGTGGATGTTGTCAAGGGAGGGTTTGACGTCAGATGGGACCACAGGCAAATCTGGATGTGATTTATTCATGGCTCTGCGATTCTGGATATCTGAATGGTTCCGAAGATGCTTTCCCCCTCTGTCTTTGATCATTTCACCTCAGCGCGAGCCATCTCAACCTGTGTCCTTATACATCGGTGCCTTTTGATCCTGTTGAACAGAATTTATAGCATGAACTAAATCTACATGGGTCAGTTGGGAGATTCTGGGGAGAATTTGCTGAACGTTGGAACAAAATACATTCCCTCACCAAGTCAGAGAGAAAGGCTGGCCTAAGGGAGGCAGAGGATTGACTTGGCTAGAGCTAAACAGAGTGACGGCTCCGCACGGACTCTGAAATATGGCCCCAAATGAAGGAACAAGTAAAAACAATCAGTAATGTGAAACGGTGCCATTAAATACCCACGGAAAGAGAGCTTTAAAATGCAGATGTTAAAAGTGATACTTTAACCAAAATCTTGCCAAGTTGAAATGGATTTGATTTGTATCTGGGTACTCCTGAGCTAGTAAAAGGGGGGAAAGTGCCATAAATCAGCCCCTGGAATAAAGTGCTGTGGATGGGAAGGGTTTAAAAGGATGCCGGAAACGTGCGCAACCTGCTGTTATCGCTGGGATGGCAGTCTCAGTGACTGCACTCCCCCCAGCAGCGCGCCAGCTGGCTGGCCACTAGAGGGCAGTGTGCACTCGTCCACGCTGCCTACTTTTGGCATGTCCTTGTCTCCGTCTGCTAAAATGAAAAACCTCTAACTGCTGTAATAAATTTGGCTAAATTAGCTGCTAAATGGTTATCTCAAGTAATATGTATTTGCATTAATCATCTTGCTCTAAACCAGAACAAGCCAGAGTCCTAAAGACGTAGTAAATTCATATTGTCCATTTAATTATGGCTAATAAGTGCTTCATATACAATAGTTTCATGAAGTACATTTTGATTTTTTTTTTGGGAGGGGGCGTGGATGGGTAAAGGGAAGTCACTTTGGAAAAGAGCTGTGTTTAAGGCCGTGGAAGCTCTTCCTGTTGTGTCTGAGCCACTCTTCCTGGCTCTGACAGTGGTCAAATATCAAACCTCCACATATTTTATCCATAAACACATCAACTTCAATGCTTTTCTCCCATTCTCCTATTTTTTTGGTCTCAAAATACACCAAATGGATGGTTGTAAAATTTAATGCTTATGTTTCAACAGTTGCTTGAAAATGGCTTGCTTTGATGAGTGCTTCAGTGATGAGTTCTGTTCTGAAACTACTCTGCAGTTTAGGGTATTTTTAAGACCCGGAACTGTCACCTTCTCTTGGTGGCGAGGCTCCACAGGTGGGATTGTACTCTGCTTTTGTAGGCAATTGTAAGTTCTGCAATTCTGCATGCATGGCTTCCCTGGCTACAAAACTGCGTAGTGGAGCTGAAAGCGGTAAAATACTGACTCTGCCATACAGTTCTTCTGTCAAACCATTGTTGCATGCAACAAGATGTGCTTTTATTCAGATCCTCTCAGCCTGGTTAACTATTAATAGAGGAATGATGGGTTATGAAATTCTGCCCACTATTTTCACAGAGAAAACTTAGAGTACCCCAATCAGTGGTTGGTGTATAATTCTTCCTGCTGTGTATCTGGAATAAGGGCTTATTTCAGATGGTTCTACTCTTTTTAATAAAGGCAAAGAGACTAAGAAGTCCCTTTTTTAGAGTCACATGAAGAAAAGACCGAGGTGCTAGGCCAGACCAGCCCAACCTGGCTGGGGATTTTGGACTAGAATTTAACGCAAAGCATGCAAAAATTAAAAAAAAAAAAATTCCACAATGCAGTGCATTGTTGTTGTTTAGTAGCTTCAGTTGTATCCGACTCTGCAACCTACTGTCCATGGGATTCTCCAGGCCAGAATACTGGAGTGGGTTGCCATGCCCTCCTCCAGGGGATCTTCCTGACCCAGGGATTGAATCCATGTCTCTTAATGTCTCCTGCATTGGCAGGCAGGTTCTTTACCACTAGCGCTGCCTGGGAAGCTCCATGCAGTGCATAGCAAGAGGGCAAAGTGAGACAAAAATTATAAAGCTAAGTAAGAATTTGCAGAATCAACATAAAGATCATCACCCCCTTCCTAATAATACTTTCTCTTACTTATAAACAAGCAAAAATCTCCTTTCTGGAATGCATGGCCAGCAAAATTTCAGCCTTGAGAGTGGGCTCCATGGGTGTGTTGTGAGGGGATAGAAAGGCTTTATTTACTAAAAGACTGATGTGGTGTCACCTTTTTGGGTTCAGGCAGCATGACTCTGGATCTGATTAGGTGCATCTGTGTTTCCTGAGAAGATAAATACAATTTTATTAGGATCCATGATTACATGATGCTATTTATCACCCAGGCCAAGGGCCATCTGGCAGAGAGGAGACCTCAGTGAGAGACAGGTAGGCTTAGTGAGGAAGTGGTGGGGAAAAGACTGGGGAGGAGGGGAGCCCTCAGGGGTCCGCTGGGGAATCAGGAGCTACTTGAGTGCCTCTACTTAATGTGATCAGCACCACAGAGCAGATCCAGGGGCCCATCACTGTCAGGTCAAGAAGATAAGTTTGATTTAATCCATTGACTTGCTCTGGGCCAGCCTGACAAACAGAATTCTGAAAAGGGAGACATCCTAGCATGGTGTTAGATCATGATCATTTCCTAGGATCAGTGTTTTCTGAATGACACCCCCCATATGTCTATGGGACTCTAGTAAACTGGAGATAAGGCTGGCTCTGAGTTAGCTCCTATTGTTCAGTCAGTAAAGTCGTGTCCAACTCATTGCATCCCCATGGACTGCAGCACTCCAGGCCTCCCTGTCCTTCACTATCTCCCGGAGTTTACTCAAACTCATGTTCAATGAGTCGGTGATGCCATCCAACCACCTCATTCTCTGTCGCCCCCTTCTCCTGCCTTCAATTTTTCCCAGCTGCTGCTGCTGCTAAGTCACTTCAGTCGTGTCCGACTCTGTGCGACCCCATAGACAGTAGCCCACCAGCCTCCCGTCCCTGGGATTCTCCAGGCAAGAATACTGGAGTGGGTTGCCATTTCCTTCTCCAGTGCATGAAAGCGAAAAGTGAAAGTGAAGTCGGTCAGTCGTGTCCGACTTTTCAAGACCCCATGGACTGCAGCCTGCTAGGCTCCTCCGTCTATAGGATTTTCCAGGCAAGAGCACTGGAGTGGGGTGCCATTGTCTTCTCCGAATCTTTCCCAGCATCAGGGTCTTTTCCAGTGAGTCGGCTCTTTGCATCAGGTGGCCAAAGTATTGGGAGTTTCAGCTTCAGCATCAGTCCTTCCAATGAATATTCAGGGTTGCTGTCCTTTAGGATTGACTAGTTTGATCTCTTTGCAGTCTAAGGGACAATTAGCTCCTACTATATGAAATGTTGACCACAAGATCACCCCAGTGCTTTTGTTTTTCCAGAGGACCTATAAAAGAGGTCACAGTGGAATTTTGCTTCTTTTAAAATGAACAGGGAATAATTTTTGCTTGAGGCTCTAGAACATAAGTGTATGATTTGTGGATGAAGTTTCCTTTTTTTTTTTTTAAATCACACTGGCAAATCAGTTGGATCGTTCCAGCTGTGCCAGAAGCAGGATCTGACAGCTTTTCCTGAGCTCATGTGGTTCTAATCAGCTCAAGAAGAAAAGCCACCTTGGTGCCAGTTTGAAAGGGATTTTTAGTTCGTAGTAAGTTAGACAACTTGATAAACACAAAAACTTTCTCGATTCTCTCTAATCCAGGGCTGTTATTTTTATTTTGGGATTCTAGCTTTAAATAATGGAGAGAAATGAGAGACTGTTTTAGCCTATTTTACAAAATCCCTTTCGTGGAGAAAAACAGAAATAAGCATGATGTAAGTTACTTGATATGGGCTTTGCAGATGCCTCAGCGGTAAAGAATCTGCCTGCCAATGCAGAAGACATGGGTTCAATCCCTGGGTGGGGAAGATGCCTAGGAGAAGGAAATGGCAACCCACTCCAGTGTTCTTGCCTGGATAGTCCCATGGAGTTCAGAGGAGCCTGGTGGGCTACAGTCCATGGTGTCGCAAATAGTAGGACATGTCTAAGCATGCATACACAAAGTTACTTGATACAGAAGTCCTTAAAAAATAGTTAATTTGTCCCTTGAAAAGAGATAGATACTCAACAAACCCATGAGCCCAGGAGAACATTCATAACAATATGCTCAAACTATAAAGAGAAGAAACCGAGAGAGAGGAAATATTCATGTGGATCATATTTTTAGTCTTACTCCATGATAGGGTCTGAGTACTTCTAAAACATAACCTGGCATCTTCTCTTTAACTAATCTCAAAGTTTACTTTTTGCTGTCCAAACTTTTTGGTAGAGCAGCCTATGTGTGCCTACTGAACTCAATGATCACATCATAACATTTTCAGAACGGTGTCCTTAAAATTGGGCAATAAGAATTAGTCTTTTTTTTTCCTAAGTATTTATTTTTGGCTGCGCTGGGTCTTGGTTGCTATGCTCAGGCTTTCTCCAGTTGTGCTGCTCGGGCTTCTCATTGCATTGGCTTCTCTGCAGAACACGGGTTCTAGAGCACAGGCTCAGTTGTGTGGCACACAGGCTTAGTTGCCCTGTGGCACGTGGGATCTTCCTAGACCAGGGATCGAACCTGTGTCCTCTGCATTGGCAGATTCTTAA